TGTCCTGCCTGCCCGTTGCTGTGGGTGATTCTGTCCCAGAGCTCTTGCCTGTCCTCGGCCCCACCTCAGGCGGTGGGAGAGGGAAAGCAGGGCTGGCTGAGTGGCTTCTCCCGGTTCTGCAGTTCCAGGGCCATCCTTGGAGCTCACACTGCCCTGCCCCAGCCTCCYTAGGTGGCCTTTTTGTCAGCTGTGGATTGCATCACTTGGCTCTGGCTCCCTGCCCGAGATCCCCAGAGCACATTGGCCACAGCAGGGGTGGTGTATTTATTACATCAGTTCTGTGCCATCCCCAAACAGGGATTATCCACAAGTATTTCCTTGAAAAGCTATTTCATCACGGTGGGAGTGCAGTGGGGAGATTTCCCCTAAAAGCTCAGTTTGAGTTCAGACCTCTGCTTGTGAAAAGTTTACAAGAATTTTAGTCTGGCCATAGGTCAGGTTGGATTTTCTGCTTGCCAGACACAGCAGCTCACTGTGGTTTAACCTAACTTGTGCAAAGTGCAGGRACAATAACTCACAGTCAGATTGCAAGGTTATAAATTTGGATTCTTACTTCTGTGCTTTATATTCAGCTCTATAACTGGGTATTTTAAAAATTTAGTTCYTATCAATTTTTAATTAGGGATAATGGCATATTTTGCCATATGGGTCTCTCATCTTCTCTCAAAGTTCCCTCTAAATACAGACTGATATCCTGGCTCTTGGTGGCTCTAAGGAGACCTGGCACCAGGGTGAGTGTAGCCCTCAATTAAAAAGAAAGGGGRAGGGTGGTAATTAAAATGACAGCTGCTTTTATATTGAGTTAAAACCAGCTCTGGTGTTAGCCTAAAACTGCTYCTAATATCAACAGCTAGTAATGTAAAAATTAAGTGGTAAATGGACCTCAGTGTGGAAAAGTGCATTTTTACTGTGATTTTTTTTAATATGGGAGCTCTTATCTATGATTTATTAGTGTAAATAAAACACATTCAAGAGGATATTTTTAAGCTAATGAAAGAAGTTGCTCCTTTTGTTGCTCTATTTCTGGTGTATTGGTTCAGAGCCTGAAGATGTACCATGAAAAGTAATGTGGTGAATGTGTTTGGATATTGGAGGAAGGCTGAGGGAGCAGAAACAAAGACTTATAGTGTGTTTTCAAATTAATAACAGTCTTTAGTTAAGAAAATTATAGTTCTTGTTATCAGCCTTTTAAAGAGGAAGTCCCTATGAACTGAAATAAAAAAAAACATGGTAAAAAGTGTTTTTCTTCTTTACTAACATTGATTTCATCGTAAGAATATTGTTAATCTGATTCATGTACTTAGGCAGGAAAAAAGGTCTTCACTTAGTATTGGAATTTATCAATCATACAATTCTAGATGAGTTCCAGCATTATTTCCATGGATTGGATAACAAAGAACTTAAAAACATCTTTTCCTGTTAGAATAAGCAATTGAGTACCTTCACAACAATAAAGAAAGAATGCATGGAAAGATTAATTATAAATAAAATGTTACTGCTTTTAGATCACTCCTTTTCTTTATTGTTGTGATTTGTCATACAGATATTAAATGTGTTAATTCTTTATTAAGAACAAGGGCTTGTTTCATTGTTCATGGCTTCCAACTGGCATGAAATTATCTGCAGAACTGGAACATTGGACTGGATGGTTGGAGCAGGACTTCGGTAGCAGCAGTGCTATTAAAGAGAATTCAGATCCTTCCCTGAAATTCAGATGAGCCACAAGTATTCAATACTTTGCATTCCCACCTTGTCCTTCTTCACTCTGTCTCACGTCTTTTAATCACTTCTGGTTTGTTCTGCTGCTGATGGGTTGGATACTGTGCCGAAATCCATACTGTGCTGTGCCAAAATCCTGCTCTCTTTTGCTCATCACCTACATTAGCAGTTGCTAATTGCAGTAGGATCAGGACATTGATGACTTTGGGAAATGAGGGCACTCTGTGCCTCAGAGTCAGTTCTGATGTAGCAGGAGGGATTTTTCAGTCCATGCTTTCATGCCTTGAGTACTTTTAAAACAAACAGAACCTGTTTCTTATTAAACTGTTTTGTTTRGTTTTGTTGGGKTTTWTTTTYCYTTTTWWTTTTKCCCCCTTCCTTTGTTATACACCATKATCTCATCTGACAATATTTTGTTATTTTGTTAACACAAAATGRAATTACTAAACTTTCTGATTTAGGTTTTGCTTAAACATGAGCTGCCYCTGGTGATGTTTATACAGATTATATGGTTATTATAAGTACACAATTGTACTTAACTGGTTTCAAAAGACCCTACACATGGAAAATATATGTGTGGGGKTTTTTGGAGGGGGGTGGAACCTCTAATTCAACTGCTATAGAAGAAGCTTCCTGTACATAAACTTCTGGATAGGGTGCTTCATTAACAAAAGGAAAATAATCATATGAAAGCTAAATTTAAATGGTGACAAGTAATGTGCCCACATATAAGGTCTGGTTCCAGATTCAGTCAAAGCAGTGCAAGGTTTCTTTTTAAAAATAGCACTGTTATTGTATAAACCAAACAACAGAGTTGTTTTATAAACCTGTAGAAGATGGTAATCTATGTTATTCCCAGGCAATCTGTGCCTGTTTGCCCAGCAGATGGTTTTCCACATTGTCCATATGAAAAATGTCCATCAGTGCTGGCACTGAGCCCCTGGATGATCGGTGACAAGGGCATTCTATGGAGCACTGCAGGACACAAAGCTGGAAAAGTGAGGAAACAATGTGGAACCTTGGAGGCATAGCACACATGGATAACAACATGATAAGTTTTCCGAGTGTGTACTTAATTTCCACTACAGATTTTATTCTGTATTTTATAAAATTCTGTTATTTACCACCTACTATTTTGGAATTCTGTAGAGGTTTGRAATTGTGGAGAGGAGTGATAATTCCCTGTTGCAAGTCATGCTCTCACTTGTGCTTTAGTTATTGATTATTATTAATAGTATTAATAATAATAACAGTACCCTGCTGTAGTTGTTCTGGCAGTGCTGAACTATAAACATGGAGGTAAATATCTTTTAACAAGCTGGGATAATTCCCTTAGTCTCAAACCTCAGATACAGTTTACAGAGCAGAATGAGTCAGCGGGAAGGATCTGCTTTTACATATCCTTCTCTGAGAGGAAGCACAGGGAGGAGCACAGCAGTGTTGGGTATTTGGATTCATTTCAGTTTTGAAGACAGTAGGCTTTTTGATGAGAGATTTAGAATGTATTTTACCAGCCCCCACATGGATACAAGAAAAGAAAATGTATACAATCTTTATACCTCTTTTAATCACAGAATTATTGCCTGTTCATAATGTCCTGTTTGTCAAGCAGCTGGACACATCCTTGGAGTTTTTTGTAGGGGCCAGGATTTTAAGGGATGGTACTTCCTGAAGTCCAGCATCCTAAAAAATGCAACAAAAGGTTTACACAGCTCACTACCTTACTGGAGATGCTATTTCCTATTAGAAACCCCTCTTCCTATTAGAAATCCCACCTGGTTACAGTTTGTTGCCCCAAACTCATATGGGGAGTTCACAGGGTTTAAAATTGTGTCCTCACAGGAAGAATGTAGCATATCAGGAATTGCTAATTAGAGAAGTTGGGATTTTCAGAAATGCCAAGGAGATTCAGAAGTGTAAGTACCAGTCCACAGTTTTGTAAGTATTTCAGTTAATTTAAATTCACTGATGTTATAATTACTATATTCACTCAGATGCAGTTGGAGACACTAATGGTTTTTAAAAAAATGTGTTCTGTTCAGACGCTGAATTTTGTTCCCCCTGATGTCAGTGGGAATGGGCATGGATTTAAGTTTTGCCATTTCCATTAAGCAAAATAAAAAATCCAGTAGGCAATTTCCTGCCATAAAAAGATCTGACAGAACAGATGGAGGAAGAATAATCTAATTGAGATGCATTTTCTTTTTTACTAGCTTGCTCTATTTCATTTTTAAGAGCATACCTAAAATGTCTTCTTYCACAAAGAGAGCTTGTTCATTAAGTCTTAAAATAAATGACAAGCAAAAAGCTTTTTTACAAATCCAGAATGCACGTGGTGATACCAGGCATTTCTAATAACTGATTAACACCATGAAAACTCAAACAAAAAGGATGAAGCRCTCTGTTGAGGACAGCCCAGAGAAGCTTTCACCAGCAGCAGGCTCCTCTGACTCATTCTTTCTATTGCAATAGAAAATGCAGTTGCTGCAGAGGAATGAAGGATCTCATTCATTTCTGGAGGACAGGGAAAAGGAAAGACCAAAGGCCAAGTTTTCTCCCATTGCTCAATTACAGAAGGGGTCACTCCTTCTCTCTCTCCTTCTGTCCTTCCAAATMACGGATAGTTGTAATGGAATGTGTTAAAATCTCCAGAGTCTTTGATTTTGTTGATGATGGATTRACTTAGTGTTACAGATACATTTTCAGAAGGTGTTGAGTTATAACAACTAAGTTTAAAAATTAAACGGAGCTTTGGAGAGAAGGAAGGGAAACAGTTGATCCATTAGGTTACTTGGATTCCTCAGAAGTCTTTGTAACCCTTCAAAATCCTTCACAAAYATTTTGAGAGCTTTCAGGAGGATTTATTTTATTTTCTCTTAGTTCCGAAGTGGCCACCACCATCCAGCTGTGGTAGCTGGAAGTCCAATAGAAATGGAGGGATGGAGGATGAGGACACGATACAGGAAGTTTGTGTCATCCTCTGCCTTTAGAGGAGTATTATTCCATCTGTTTCAGACATAGGATTTGTTTATGTTGGAAGCATCTGTTTTTCATCTGAACAGCCAAGGAGGAAAAGCAGAGATTCTCAGAAAATGCTTCATATGCAAATTAGGYAATAATTAAACTTTAAAATCAGATGTTCTAAACTAAACTACATTTAGGGAAGAAAATCTCTGGTTTTGGTACCCTACCTTTCTCATCTGACCCCTTTAGTTTAAGAAGCACCAGACTGACAGGCTTAAAGTTGGGCAACATCCCTCAGGAATGCAGAAGAGGAATGTATGGATGTGGATATGGTAAAAAAATCAGTTCTGGAAACCCACCTGAGCTGGGCTGCAAACCCCTTGTATCTTCTGACACATTCAGAGAAGACGTTGCATGTTGGAGGAAGAATCTGCAGTCAGAGATGCTGCATTTCCCTGGCTGCCCAGAAGATTTAAGTTGATGATCTGATGGTATGTGTCTAATTTCCTATTCTGTGCTCAAAAACTGCATGACTCTAAGAACTTCAGGCTCTGTTCATGAGTGTGAAACACATCCACAAAACATAGTGCAGCAGCATAGAGCAGCACAGGTAAACATGTTTTGGAAATAAAGATATAAGGACTGGCTAATGAGAGGTGAAACAGCCCCAGCTACCCTGACAATCCATTCATAWCCCCTATCCAGCAAATTAGAAGAGTATTTTGGGACAGTCCTCAGCCAGCAGAGTGCTCCTGGAGGGAATATTTTCTCCAGTATAATTTAGACAAAACTCTGGGGCCCTTACCTACCCTAGAACTAGGAGCTAAAATAATAACTCACCTTCCACCCACCCTCTGTACCAATTCAGAACGATGAGCCAAATACTGTGAACTAGGTTACACAGCAACAGAATAAGCCCCAGACACCCCAGATGTTACTGAAGTAGGTGCAATGACAAAAAACTATGAGATAATTTAAGTAGAGAACTGACACTGAATAACACTAGGTGATAATACTCTTAAAACCTAATGATATTAATTGATGGATTATCTAATGATATGCACAGGTATCAGTCCATAACTGTGTACACATTGGTAAACTGCTCCTGTAGAGCAAACTGTGCTTAGTTTGTGTGTGTGTGTGTGTGTGTGCAGTAAAGAAGAGATATTCAGAGGAGCCCAAGAATGTCCCAAAAGATCCTTCAAAGTCTATATTTCCCTAAAGTTATACAAGATCTTTCACGAAACATTAATTATATGTCCTTCTACACAATAGTAGACTCAGAGACAGTGGTCAAGTCTTCACTTTTCTGAGCCTGCTCCTCAAAAAGGATAAATGTACCATGGAAAAGCACCAGGTCTGGCTCTTTGCAGAGATGAAATCACAGAGAACAATGAAGAAAAAACATTTTGCTGCCATGCAGAGAGTGAGTAAAGCAAACTCCCCAGTGGAAAAAGCAGATACTATATAGACACCTTTTAATGTCTAAAGATGTGGCAGCAGTTTATGGGAGTTTAGGAAAGGTAATTTCTATTTTTTTAACTTGCTTAACGCTTGGCTTGGCCACAAAGAGGTTTTTACAAGAATCTTCACGCAACACTTTGTGTAACACTATTCCAAAATGTTGACCATTTATCTGACACCTTGAGGGCGTGACACGGCATTAAGCCTTGCTCCGGAGCGATTTCTCTAAAATCGCCGGTTTTCAGCCGTGTTGTGCCGAGCCCGCCGAGCCAGCAGGTGTGGCTGTGGAGCCTTTGAAACCCGCGATTCCTTCCATCGGAGCCTGCGGAGCGATGGCATCGCTCTGCTCCTTCCAGCGAGGGCATCCCGACAAAGCTGCGTGCTTCCCTTCTCCCTGGGAAATCCCGGGAACTGTAAACACCAGYGTTTGTCCACTCTTTCACACACAGCGAGCGGGATTTTTGCTGCAAAGGAAAGCTCTTGGCTGTATCCTTTGCTGGCAAGCTCCATTTCTAATGTACACAATTGCTATTATCCTTGGAACTACTCATTTCCTTGGAAATACTCAGATTTGGCTTTCTGCGTTGTTAAATAGATGATTTACTTTAGATGCTGGCATATCGTTTAAGAGAAAATATTATTTAATGTAACTTAAAGATCACCTCTTGCTATTAGATTCTTACCAGAGTTGAGAACCAACTTGTTAAAAGAAAGAAAATTAATTCTCCTTCAAAGCACAGAGCAACAACAGATATAAAGAACTACTAAAAGGTGAGAAATGCTGATATTAATGCCTGTCAGARTGGTGCAGGATTTGGGAAGATGAGAACTGCTTTTCTTAAATTATTTATTGCTGCACAAACATGTTGTTGTGATTACAACCCACTGGTGATTTTAAACACCAGCRTCAGAAACATCTTTATAGTTAAAGGACCTTCGAGGTAGGGATATGGGGCATCCTTTAGGGGGTTGTGCATTGTTATGGAATATTTCTCTTGTAGACAATTCTCTGCTGTTTTATTCTAGATATGTTAAGAAAACACTGGACTGAGTGCTCCAGCTGATGTTTTGTCATAGTTTCCAAAAATAAAAGAAAGTAAATGAAGGTTGTACGAAAGCAGTTGTGATTGTGGAGTCAGCARTTGCTGAGCTGACTTGGAATAACAGCCACTGAAAAAAACAACAAAACTTGGCTCACAGAAATTTCCTGAACTGGAACAGTCAACAGGATTATTTTTAGCTCAGGTTTTAATGTTTTATCACTTAAAGGGAAAATAGTTGCTAGATGAGAAACATTACATATTGTTTGAACAAAAGGTATTTTCTTACATGCCAATCTTTAAACAAYAAATTTTTACAGGATATGGTTTCTCAACTACCTCTGTTTCTGAAGTTTTCCAGAYCCAGCATATTTAACAAAAATAAAGCTAACGTGAAAAAGAGAGAAAGGATATTTTAGCCAAAACCTGATTTTGGTGTACTTTTATAGTGAGGTGAGGAGRTGCTTGAGTTAGGGGTCCAGCATTGCATAGGAAGCCTCTTCACTCCTAAACATTCATTATAAACTGTAGGGTGACAGGCATGAGTGATCAAAAAGTATTTATTTAATATTTTTGTTGTTAAATATCTGATATTTAAATATGCACAGTGAATTTACCTATTTAGACTCATAGTCAAATTTTGTGTCTGTTTATTCTGTATAATTAGCAGCCGGATTTAGCTTTGGCTGTAGCCTTTTATCCCAACAACTAAATACATTTAATTTGCAAATGTTCTGAAACTATATTTCAAAATTGTTTCAAAACAAATATTTGGTACATCTTGATCAACGTTTCTCATGGCAGCAGCTCTGCCTGCTGCCGCCCAAAGTCACGTTGTTTCTCTCTAGTCTCACATCTTTCCCTAAGCTGTGCTGGTGTAATTGCATGTGGGGTTATGCACTGAACCCGGTCAAGGACCTGATCTGGATTAAAATAACCTGACCAAAGATGGGTATTTTGAGCTTGGATATTTTTCCTGCAATACAATCTCACAGAGAATGCTGTGGCACCACAGAGGCTGTGGCCTGGGGAGGGACATGGTGAAAAGAGGGGCAGCTTCACCCAGGACATGGAGMCACAGCCTTGGCTTTACAAACTGAAACCCCCAGCAGTGACTTTGGCCCACTCGCTATCCAAAGGAAAAAAAATAAATAAAAAGTAATTGCATAGCTGTGATACTGCAGTCTTGTTTTAATTCTGTTTCTCCAATATCCACACCTAAAATAACTGAAAGTACTATGATTTAATGGCTTGCTACAGGGATTAGTACACACAGACAACACATGAGGAATCAGCACGATAATCTAAGAGTGGGGAAAACGTGGGCAAACACACATTTCTGGGAGGATGATCTACTCAGACAGCATAAACTGCAAGCAAACTAAAAAGCTAACAGAAAATTAATAAGGGTTTTATGGTTATCTTGATATTTTCTGTTACCAGCCCTGAGTGATGGTGTATCTGCAGCAAGAGGAGCAGTTACACATTAACAGCCGAGTCACCACAGCGTGATCCAAGATTGYAACTGAGCATGAATTACCAGCAGAGGCAGTAAAAGAAACTGGAACTAGGAAAATACTTAGTGGACATGAGTTAAAATRCTGTTCCACATGTTTGACTGAAACTGGAAGGAGTTTGGTTGTACGGAAAATGTGTTACTGAGGCTGTATGTGTTGTTTGGGGCTCTCTTGTCCATCCTGTATTTTTGGGGGAAATCAATTTCTGCTTGACCATGACATTATCTGRTATCACGAGGTGTCTGTGAGGTATTTAAAGAATCTTGCTGAGCAGCAAAGCTCATGCAATAAGGAAACTGGAAGAGTTAATGAGTTGTGAAGTCTAGAAATCTTTATCACAGGAATTAGCATGCAAATTCCAGTTCCTATTGCAATCAATTTTCCTATTTGTTGTCACATATTTAAAATKTTTCATTAGCTTTCCCCTGTTGCATTTTCCAGGTGGTCGCGGATGTTGATAGGAAAAAAAARTAGAAGCAACCTAAGCTGGATAGTAGGACATAGTAAAAGGCTATGAAAAGTCTGGAATGTGGAAATAAACAATGTTAAAAAATAAAGAGCCCTGTGGTTATGTGTAAGTTTAAAATAAATATTTCTTTTCTTTGGTGGCTTTAAAACACAATAACTACTCMAATTCAGCCATTATGCTATAAAGTTTTGAAATGTGAACAGTTTTGCATGTTTCAGGGGAACTAAAGGTTATGCCATCAAAATCAGGACAATTTTGGCGCATCCTAATTTYTTTATTCTTGCATTGTTGATTAAACTTAAGCACTAGGATAGTGCTGCCCTTTCCTTTTTGCTCTCTTGCCTGTGTTTTGCTGCCAGCTGTTGCAATTTGGAAAGGGTRTATCCTGCACATGGCTCGAATTTACCAACACCAGGCTCATACAGCCCCATGCCCTGTGCTCAGAAACTGGGAGAATTAGAGGAGATTACTTCCATATTTAGCTGCTGGGCTATTTTTAAACCTCTTCCTCTCCTAATGCATCTTCCTGTATAATCCTATCTAAAATTTTATTTTGAGGGCTTGGGGTAAGTAGGGAACTGGGGGCTTAATGTTGCCAAATCCAGAAAAAACTTCCATGGGCACAGAGTTAGCACTCAGAAAAACAGATTTCATTCACTGCTTCCCAGCTTGGGAGAAGGAAGAGAATACCTTAAAGATCCCAGGAAGAAAAACAGTAACTACATGGTTTAAAAAAAAATGTGAAAGGGAGGCTGAGCTAGCAAATCCTCCAAGAATAAATAAAAAAATGTTTTCCATTTTCATTTTAAATGATCAGCTGGATCTGATGCCAGCCTTACTGTCTGGACCATGTTCCATCCTTGTTGTGCTGCTGGCTCAGATGTTTTGTGGTAAATAATCTCATTGTTGAACACGGATTCCTCACATGTAGTATTGACTTTACAAGGCCCAATGAGAACAACTGATGGAAAATGCTRTTCTACAGTTAGTAATAAACTATTATGCTTCTCATACAAAATACCAATATCTGAACTGTTTTAGAAATGGGCTCAGGGTGTTCAGATATAAGCAATTATCAGGTTTTGGAAGGGTGGTCACAGAAGATCACATAATCAGCTATTCTCTGCTGTTAAATGCTTTGGCCCTGGGAAATTAGAAATTCTTGCCTGTGTGCTGTATGTCTCATGCCACTCTGCAGTTAGCAAATAGGACACCATGGAAAGAGGAAATCCTGACACAAGCAGGAGCCTCCCTGCTGGAAGAAAACTTGGGGGGGTGGGGGGTGGGGGGGAAAGGTGCTTTTGTGAGTAAGGTGGAAATAACTACAAAAYGCAGAAATATCTGTGGCATTCAGTGATTCTGTGAAGGCACATGCAGATCACAAAATCACCCATGGGCCATGCAAAGGGCTTTAGCCCGGCCGCATCAACCACACAGCTCTGGGAGTTCTGCTCTTTGCCACCAGTTTCTATCTATTTGGGTTTAACTATTTTCTGCAGAGAAGCTGATATTAAAATTATGAAGTATTTTATTGTGTATAGAGGTAAATGTTTAAGAAACACATCACAGCTGCTTGACTGCAGAAGTGTATTTTCCATGTGAAGAATCTGATTTTCAGCGAATATGTCAGGCAAAGAGCACCTTACCTTWCCTCATCTTACCTATACCAAGCATCATTTTGGAGGGTTTCTAACAGATTTCCTTTCTAGTTGTTTTGGGGTGTTACAGACAGATCCAATGGGGTAAAAGCTACACCAGTTGTTGGAAATAAAATAGTTATTTKCCTCAAGAAAGTATTTTGAACTCATTGGTTAATTCTGTCCTTTGTTCTGTTGCATAGGGAGCTTATGCAGGCTGCGATGAGACAAAATTACATCAGATATACAAACATCCTCTCAAAATTCAGAACTCGTATCTTCCCTGGAGTCCCKTGAATACAGCTGCTAATTATCTCATGGAATGTGTTCTGCTGCAGTTTGAAAAGCACGTGATGCCAAAGGAGAGACTGCTCACTAACACCATAGGTTTGCTTAAATGGTGTGAATCTCTACAAAGCAGAAGTCCTGTTGAAGGGGAGGAAGGATAAGGTTATAGTTAAAGTAGGGAAGTGAGAATGAGCCAGAGCAAGAGACTTTCCTCAGCTGAGAGCTACAGAAGTATGGTGAGGACAATGGAAAGCAGAGAAAAGGGAGGGACACCTCTCATGCAGTGGTAGGCGAAGATTTGAGCACCACATATCAGGTTCCCTGGCAAAACTTGCTGCCATTAAAGCAATGCTCTGCTTTGTTCTGAYGGAGGTGGGATGTGTTGTGTTCTGAAACCATTACCAATCCTGTTTTTCATTTCCTTACGCCAGGCAGAGAAGCCTCAGTATGTTCAGAAGCTGAATGCTGAAAATTTGAAAAGCTGAGATCTCAGTSACAGATAAATATGTGCAGTTAATAAATGTATTATTCTTTCAAGGCCTAGGAGCGAATGCAGCATTACTGAAGACGGAAACAATTTGGTTGCTATCACTGGAGTTGAACACACTCAAGCCAAAATGAAACATAAATGCTCATATAATCCCCTGTGACCTCTCAATTATTCCCACGCAGCCTAACAGTGATTTCACAGATCACACGGATGGGAAACATAATTTAAACTTTCTGTGCTATGTGTGCTCGTCCCTTTAACTTCCTTACTCAGTTGTCACCGAGGCAAGTTAATCTGCAGGATATTTTAGTTGGAGTTAAGGGTTGCAGCAGAGACACTTGGGCCTATTGTGAGCCTTTCTGTTCTTTCTAGTGCAATTTCCCTGATGATTTCATCTCTCTCCCAGTGACTGATTATCAGAGGAGTAGCCTTTGTATGCAGGAGACAATGTATTGATTGCTAGCCATGGTGAGCTGTGTGGGAGATGGGTATTATGTATCTACAGCTGGAGCTTGCTGAGTAAAGAAAGAATCACTAGCACAAGACATTTGCTGTAGCTTTCCATAGATAAAAATCGTTTCAGTAATAAAACAGAGGATTCCCAAAGTGTAGCTTACAGAAGTTTCACTCAAATATTTACAGTTAAGTATAAATATTTTATGAGATTTAGGGAAATCTAGCAGCATATAAAACTCATTCATCTACTTTTGGATTTTCTTTTTCTGTATCAACTATAGAAATTAAAACCCCTGTGTCAATAGAAATAAGAAAGTTTGCTCTCTGAACTTTTGAAATTGGTTGTTACCTCCTGAGCAGCATCTTGATTGCTAGAACTGGCAAGATATTCACTGATTTTTACCAGTATCAATGTTTGGTTTGGGTTATCTGCCTTAAATCTACTTCTGAAATCATGTCAATCCCAACCCCTCTGGTTACACCATTCCTAACACAAAACCAGCTGCCTTGTCCTTCTTGGTATCTACTCTTTTTTTAAACACATGCAGACTGATTACATTGTCCCCTTTTGCTGTCACATAAAATCCACAGGTGAACATCCAAAAAAAGCTCAGTGTAGGGTGGCATGTGAAATATACTGGCATGAAGAAACACCCTTTTCTAGCTGGGCTGGTCATATTATTGGTATTTGGCAGAGAGTCATAGCATGACTCAGTGAAATCTTTTCAACAGTGAAGCTGCTCATATAGTAAACATTCCTGAGCACTAAACTGTAGAGTTTTATTTCACTCGAGTAAAATCCCATTATATTAAATTATAACGTGGAGACATTCTCTGCATTAAATTAATGGATGCAGTTCTTCAAGTTCTCACCATCTGTTCTACCCTTTAATTACAAAACCAGAAAGGCACAATTCACAATCCCATGATAAAAAAGGGAAATAGAAAGAATTTGGATACACAGGGACTACCAGCATCTGCAACATACATGGTCTCACTTCACAATAAGCTGTACTTTGCTGCTAGCACCCCTGCTTTAAAAATACATACTAGTGATTTCAAGTGGATACATTTAGTCACTCCCTCACCTAGAAATCTCGTTGTCCAGTGCTGTGGTTCTGACTTCATCTTAGAGAGTGATGTTTTTCAGGGTAAGTGAAATTACCTTTGCATCTGCAAGCCATTGAACACTGCAGAATCACTTGAGGCAAGTGAAAAGCCATGTTACACAGATCCTCTCTTGGTTTTTAGAGAGGCTACCCTCTCTACATGGAATGCATAAATGTGTATATATATTTGTTCTGGATTCCATGCAGAAAGCATTAACATTTAAAACAGACAAACAAAATGTAAGTATTTGCACCCAGGGACACTGCTCAGAAGCTTTTCACAGATACTGAATTTGTTTTTCCAGTAATTACGGCTTTTCTGTTAAAGATACCTTATACTTCGAAGAAGGTGTGTTGCAGTGTAGAAAATCTGCACATATAACTAGCAAAATTAATAGTAGCTGTAACACTTSACAGAAGAGAAAGTGGGAGTTGAAATGGCCTTGAAGATCTTTAAACAGATACAAGAGACATCTCCTGTCTCCTGATCTCTTCACCAGCCCGTGGTGCCTCCTGCTATACTGGTTTCATACTACAGAGTGAGAACAAGAGTTATTTTCTTCAACACAGAAGTGCATTAAATAGTCACATAAAACCAGAAGAACTTGTTTTGGAAGAAGTCAGCCCTATCTCAAGGCTACTGTAATGTACTTACCTTTATTGTGGAAATTCTTTCACTTGGTATATTACCTACAGATGAATGATTCTTGGTAGATTTTGGTACATTTCCTGACTGTCTTCAGTTGGACACTGACAAGAAAATAGAGCCGTAGTAGCTACACGAGTGAAGTCTTTCTGACTACTGGAAGAAAAGATATGGATGATATCCTGGTGTAATGATAACATTTGTTAAGAGAAGTGTAATTATAATCAAGACAGAGAGGGTAATTTATAAAAAGTTACATTGAGGGACTTCATGTAGGAACAGCTCCACCACAAGAATGTCAATTTAACCCTTGTGCTGTTAAGAATAACTCGTACTATATCTGATATMTGGAAGGTGATGTTTCTGAAATAAATGTTCYTYTGAGGAGGTTCTGATAGATTTTTTWAAAAATATTGKTTTTGATAGTGAAATTTGAAACAGAATTAAACTTTCTGGGCGGTGCCTCACAGAATGAGCCCAGTGATTYTGTGCCGGGAACCTCCCTTGTG